TCTGGATTCTGAAATTTGGAATCCAAGAGTAATAACCTCAACCTGCTTGAAACATGAGTATTTCAGCTTGCAAAAGTCTTGAGTATTAAATAGATAAAGCTCAACCAAATAGAACTTACCACAATATACAAAAAGCAAAATTATGGGTGGACACACGAATCAGAAAATAATTTCTCTTCATTATTTAAACAAGAACATAAACTTTTAGATCTAAATTAGTTACATAAGGTCTCCAAATGCTAGCCTAGATAATTTCAGATTTATTAACTTCACTTAACTTAACCTGCTGACAAAGAGGAGTAAGCAACGCTGAAGATAATCAGATTGTTTTTCCAATGGTACATCTTCCATTCCAATTAATAGGGCAATTGCCTGTAAAGTATTCAAGTGCAAGTTAGATCAGAAACAAAGAAGCCTCAAATCCAATGATAACAACTTCTACTCATAGATGTATGCAGTAAAATGCTACCTCAAAAATGTGACTGCCATCTTCAAGTCCCAAAAATTCTTGGGAATTACAATTCATAGTAGTAAATCGAGCAACAGTATCTTGCAGACTCTGAAAATTAGTGGAACAAACAAAATCAGGAGAGAGGGAGGCACATACAAAAATACACACACTCTCCCGCACAAAGAGAGAGGACAACAAGAATATATGAATTGTAGATAATCCATAAACATGACAAAGATATGATTGCAAATTAAATACCTGCAAATTGTATCAATGAAAGGAACGAGCTTGGCTTTGAGCAGTTTCACAACCCTCATAAAAAGATAACTAGCCCTTCGGCTAACATTCACATTTGGGTGGTGTATACCTCTATCATCAAGAAAGGCTGCTAAACCAGGGGAATATATTGAGTATTCTCCTGAACAAACTTTATATATCTTGTTATTGTATCCAAAACACAAATGCGACAAGCCTACTAGTATGGCAAGGAAACCTTGTTGATAAGAGCATCGGCACCAACTCTTTCAACATACCACTACCTGTTCTCATTGCCTCATCACTTAGTGACTCACCAAGTGCAAAGAAGAGGGAAAGTGCAACTTCTACCTCTTCAACATTCCTATCAGAAGAAGATGCAGCAGCAATGGCTAAAGAGTTTCTAATGAAAATCTGAGTAACATCAGGTGCTACACGGCCTACACTACAAAGCAATACAAATAAATCCTTCCGAAACTCTGCCATCCTATCTTCCTCTTCTCTCCCAATTTTATCCAATGCATGTAGATTATAACGATAAACAGGGTCAAACTGAATCAGCACACGAATCACTTCCAATATCTGCCCACATGTAGCTGTTGTGTCTCCGTCATAGTTGAAAGGCTCTTCATTGTGGCAAAGTACCCTGAAAGAAACTGCACAGCACTGAATGTCGCGTCAACCTCACAACTCCGCATTGCATAAAAAACCGAAGGTAAAACCTCATGCAAGAGCTCCATTGAAACACCCTTGGCATCCTCAGAGTTTGAATGCTTAGAGCATTCTAGAACCTCGGTAGCATACCCAGTTAGCAAGGAAGCTACTCTTGAAACCAATTCAGAGTCATTATTCTCGGTTACCAAACCAAATACCCTACTTAGCTGAAGGTTCCGTAAAAGAGTAATCTTTGCTTGCGGATCCATCCGCTTAGAAACTACCCCAAGAACACAACCAGCAGCAGCAGCCCGAAGTTGATCCAGCAATCCATCTGCCAACATTAACTCAAACAATAATCGAATAAACGCATCATTCACTATTAAGCCAATGTCAATCCAGGTAATATATTTCCTCACACAATCTAAAACAGTAGTACATAATTCATGATCAGAGTTTCTATACATTGATACAATGTCGTACCACGCTCTAACGATCTGAGGAACACACTGCTGCCTCATTGCATCCTTAATCCTCCCCGCAACAGCCACCTCCTCGGTACTTCTAGGGTAGTCCAAGCTAATCAATTCATCATCCAATACGTTCAAAACACGACAAAACAAATCAATCACCACTGCACCTTTGCTCAGATTTGGCAGAAAATCAGTAAACACGGATGACCAAATCAACGGGTATTCAAAATATATTAAAGTGACAAGAACCTGAGCAAGCTTGTTCTTGATAAATGACGGACCCTCCAAAACTCTAACTGAGTCGTTATCACCTTCAAAACACGCCATCGAAAATACTGACTTCCTTATAAAAGACTTCTCTTCAAGACTCATCGACGAGTACCGAACACAAAGAAACTCGTGCAGACATTGTAAGCACCAGAACTGGACTTGAACTATCTTAGAAAGACACAATTTCTCTATACATATACTACAAATTGATGGAGTCCCTTTAATTTGCTGACAAAAAGAAACTGCTTGTGATTTCAACAATGAATCCACGGTCCCCGATTCATCAAAACTTATAAGAATTGCTTTTTCAATATCGTCCATTATCTATAAACCCTAAACCCTAATAAAACTCAATCCGATCACACAGTTAGAGGTCCGAGATTGAGGAGAAAGAAACAAGAATTGAATAAAGTGTTCTATTAGTTTTTATGTTGGGGCTAGGCCTCTAATAACACTACTGAACAAACAAACCCTAGGGTTTTTTTGTAGATTTAACGTGGTAACGACTTATAATGATTATGTTCGTTGAAACTGGCTAACAGGTTTTCAAGGAGGAATATTTTTTTCGGGAGGAATGGCTTCTCAATAACAGTTATCCTATGCTTTGCCGTCCGCCTAAAAACTTTCCCAAATTTACTTGCCCACCACACATGGTGCATGCCACATGTCTTTGTAGGACCCACCAATTTAAAGTGTCCCCCTTCGCCACTGCACCACACTACACTTCCCCAAAGAAAAAAATTTATCCCCGGCGAGTTCTTTGATTTTTTTCTTCTCCGGCATGTCTTCCATATCCGATGAAAATTTTTGTCCATTTACCTCTTTCCACGCCCCCCCCCCCTCTCTCTCTCTCATGCTCCCAAACCACATGTCCATTTCTTCTCAACGTTGTATACCAGCAAACTTGGACGTCTCTGGTGAGACAAAGTCATCAATCCCATCGTCGCCAAAAGATTCAATGTTATGTATCCGTCTTTTATGTGACCACAAAGTAAGCAAAGGGCTCTGTGGATGCCAATTATCAAACCACAATCTTATAATACTGTTGAAGTAAGGGTCTAATAATGTTTCTGAGGTGGAGAATTTTAAACCAACTCCAAGGGGACCACCCCACGAAAGCTTCCGTTTTAGGTAATTGGCCTAATTCATAGGGTCCATGTAAGATATTCTAAATATGCCTTAACGTTAAGGTAATTGTGCTTCTCAATCCCAAGCCCCCCTTTCTTATGTGGTTTGGTGACTTCTTCCCACTATATTATAATTGGTAGTTGTAAGATTAGACAAGATGAAAACCTTTAATAGTTGTTTGATTCTCTTCAAGACAGATTTAGGAATGATCGACTACACCAAAAAGTTAATATAGGAGAGGGATTTATTAATCCACCTCTTGATTCTCACTTCCACCTTTTTAATAAGAGGAGCACAATCTAATGTTGTGAGCTTGATGGATATAATAGGAACCCCAAGAACTACCAGCAATATTACACTTGGGAGATGGGGAGTCTGGTGTTCAAATACCCAACATACATGTGTGGAACTTATATCGGAACAAGAATAATACTTTTTTCTATTTCGTTTGCCGGATAAGAACTCCTTGATTCATTGCCTGAAACCATAGTGAAAGCATTGAGTTTTGTAATGGTTTGAATTAACAAGCGAACCGTACCCACCAACTAAGTCAAGGATATAGATCGACAAATTGTCCTTTTCGATTTGATGATGCCTAAAAGCTTAAGCATAGAGGTGGTAAGCTCTTCAACATTATATTATGACACTTTAACTTCTTTTTCTATCTAATATGAGATTCTCCACACATCTAATAACCAACAATTTCTCCCTCATGTGTGAACCACATTGGGCTTAGCTCTTTTTTGAGTCTGATCCACCACTCAACACAAGAACTACGTCCAACCATTCTTTACAAGAGTCTCGTTCTTCCAATAACCAAAATTTTATCGCTATTAATGAGAATTGTGCCAACCATTCTTTACAATAATCCTGTCTTCTAAGAACTAAACTTTTATCACTTTTTATGAGTTTTTGCATTGTTACTCTACAAAGAGTCCTTGCGCCTTGGCCCATGACTTACTCTTTTTTTCGAGTTGTGTTTCCATGACTTTAATACCAAGAACTCTATCACTTTTTTAAGAGTTATCATTGGTACAAGCATGATACACCACTTCTTGGAGAGCTCACTCAGGATCGTCAGTCATTGGATTTGATACCATTTTATTAGAGAACTGAGAAACCCATTAGTTCAAGGCTCAATATAAATGTCTGGAACTCATGTCCACCTAATAACTTAAGCTTATAAGCGGTGCTCATCAACAACATATTAGAATACTTTAACCTATTTTTCTATTTGAAGTGGGATTCTCCACATATATAATACCCAATAATTACTGTAGTCAGATTTAAACCTAATGAAAACAATAATTATTGAAAACTGTGTTTCACTTTTTTGGCAAGATAAATTAACCAGGCTTTAGATAAATAGTGGTTTGTTCCAGTTTTTTTTGTCTATCTAGGTATGATAGAGGGTTTTTTTCTTAGCTCTTTTCTTTTCAACATTTTGCAGTGCCACAACAATCCAAAATAGAGAATAAATGTCAAAAAATAAAGTTATAATTTATAGTTGGAATAGTGGCATCCATTACTATTTAATCTATTGTGGTTATTGGTTAGTAACATTTGGAGAATTAGTTGCTATGGAACCAAACACATCAATAATCAGAAAAAGGGGATGGATTTTTCACTGGGAAAAAGGATGTGCATGCAAATTGGTTGATGCAAGTATTATTTTGTTTTTATAACTGGTATAAGCTATTGAGTTGTTTTTGTTGAAATTATTGATTGAATTGAATCGAAACTTATAGGAAGTTAAAAAAAAAGTATTTTGAAAAACAAAAACTTCAAAGATTGAGTGACAAGAGGACCAGTGTCTATTGGGCCTTGCCCACGGGCCACGAGTTGCAATATTGAAGGCATAAAAAAATAGAGTTTTAGTCATCTTCAAGTTACTAATTTCGTAAATAGGTGGACCTAACATGATTAATAAACGAATCTTTTATAGGTAAAATAAATCAAAAATGCAATACGACTCGTTGTTACACACGAACTCAATTCATTAAATAAAAATTAATAAATAAATTGAATATAAATGAAATATTTTTTAATATAAATTCATCTCATCCAACCCGATTGATAGGCTTAATTCATAAGTCTCATAACCAAATAACCACCCTCGTAGTGTTTGGGTCTGCACAGGCCCATAGTTAAGAGCATTTACTTAAACTTCTTGCAGTACTATAAGCAAGTGGGTCAGGCACATTTCCTATTTAACCTTGAAAACGGGTGAAGAGTTTTCCAGCAACTGAAAAGAAAAAAAAAATCATGAAAAAACGAAGTGTGAAACCTCGTGTCGTGTGTGTACGTCTAGAAGCAGCAATCTTTACGTCTACATCAATCCTTGAGGCCCTGTTTTTGTTTTAATGCATAATTTTTCTGTAATAAGTATGCCTTGAAAGCACATGTAAAAGAAAGAAATCTGATCTGAGGGACAGAAGAACATAGCGTGCTAGAGTTTTATTCCTTCAATCAATTTAAAACGTTTAATATTCTAATGTAACATCCCATTGATGTGAAACATGGCTTACCTGAATTCATTTTTGTATTAAAAAAATGAGCAAACAACCATCAAATATTTTTATATTAATTCTCATGCTCCATTTATTAAGAAAAATATGAAAATTTTAAAAAATATATTTTTTGAAGGACAAAACCCAAAGGCCCTCCTCATGTTATAAGCTCAGATCGAGTTAAAGACTCAACTCTAAAAGATTCACTAAATCTAACCCAATGTAGTCATTTTGGTCAAACTCAAGGAGTTACATCAGCAGGAAGCACACAAGGGTCATTCAAAAGTCTTCTCTATCACTTTAGAGTAAGGGTTATCCAAAAGTCTTTTTCTACCACTTTGGAGTAAATGTCATCCAAGAGCTTCCTCCTCACCACCTTAAAGTAAAGGTCATTTCAGGAGCCTCTCCCTTGCGGCCTAGAGAGAGTCAACATTCTCTCATCTTTTAACCAAATCCTTTGAAGAGTGTCATAACTTCCTTACCGGTTGAAGAGATGAGAGGTCATCAAATTATTTAATTACTATTAAAGTCATCTCAATCTGTTATGACTATTAAACGGCTCCAACCCATTATAATCGTCAGACTAACTATTTAATTACTACATTAAACCACTATAAATTATAAACCCCACTAACACTTGGGGGGCATCTCACTCATTTGAGTATAATTCTCTCATCTCCATTTCAAAAGCTGGTAACTCTTTGTTATCCCTACACATCGGAGTTAATAAAATATCGACGACCCTTGTTATTCAAAGTGAACGTAGGTCATTTTGACCGAACCACTATAAACTTTGTCTTCTCTCTCCATCTACTTTAGTGCATTTTATATTACTTAATTGACAAGTGGTATGCAAATCAATATTGTGTATCATTAGTTTGGCGTCGTCTGTGAAAACGACAAAATTCTCACATAAACACTTTATTTGCTGAATCAACCAGATCCATGAATCAACCTAAAAACAATCCATGAAAAAATAAAAGAGATTGAATCGATGGAAAATAAAAATAACTATTTTTTTTTGTACTGACTAAGATTAGAGGTGACAATCAAGTCGTGTCATGTCAAATTCGTATTGAGTCATAAAATTATGAGTTTCTTATATTTTTTGTTGACGTGTCAGGTCAATTTCAAGTTTGTGTCAAGTTATAATTAAGTTCGTGTCATAAAATTTGTGTCAAGTTCGAATCGTCTTATCATGTTGAGTCGAAAATTTTCGCCCTTAGTTAAGATGAAAAAAATATTTTTTAATTTTTTTTTATTTTAAATTTTTTTAATATATATATAAATACATATTTTTTTATTTTATTTTTATATAAAATTAATATATACATAATATATAGACAACACAAATAATTAACTTTTCATCCACTTTCCTTTCGATTTTGGAGGAATTGATTTTTGTGAGTTGGAAAAAAAATTAATCTTTCCACTTTTTCATTCTTTCTAATTTCTTTAATAGTTTTTATTAGTTTCCATTAGATATATTTGAACCCGAATTTGATTAGTTTCCTTTAATCGACCATAAAACAATTAGACGAATTTGATCTGTTATTGTAGCTATAAACTACAATTTACTGAAAGTTTTGCTGCTAGGAAATTTCAATCTATCATGCACATGCCCCTTGTCAAACCTTGGCGTAAACTTTTCGTGCTTGCTATCCGAAGGTATGATAAAGATGACCAAACCTACGCCTTTTAATAAAAGTAGTTGTAGAGTAATAAATAAGTGTAAGAGGGAAAATTCTCTCACTTTAGGTTTTGAAGAATTAATCGTTTAATAGTTTTTATCTCTTTAGGGTTAGGTTTTTGTGCGTGTTTACATCAAGTTCGAACTTTTTTTAAGCAAACTTAACACTAACAAAAATAAATATGTTTATCATTTTAATTTCTAAATGTGGGCTTTATTGGTCCAACTTCTAAACTTCCAGGAACAAACACATTCCTACTCGAGCACGCAAAATGCTAGCACGTTTTGTAAACGCTAATCCTACGCCATGCAATTGGCTGTACATGTACCCACACACGCATCCACATGT